TCGAAACCCAGCTTGTACATCCGGTAGTTCTCGGTTCATGTATTGCTGAAGCCTAGCTTGTAGGATTTTGAGTATAACCTTGCTAGCATGTGAACTCAATGTATACCTAGTGTAATTAAGGCAGAGTTGCTCTGATGCTCTTTCTCATGCTTCCTCCCTCCCTTAGGCTGATTTATCTCTTTTGCAATGGTCCTGTTTCCTCCTCTGCTTTCCCAGGGTCTGTTACACTTTTCCTCACACATGAGGTATCTCGTTAGATCCTTACTGATTTGTGGAAAATAACTCTGTATAAAAAGGCAAGGAAACTTTAGAGAAGATCATAGTTTGTAGTGGATAAAGAGGATCGCCTTGAAGGACAGAGAAAAGATATGCTACCAAGGCAATGATCAGATAAACAGAACTTGATCCCAGACCAAGAAAGTAATTTGCAAAAATGTCTCAGACAGTGCCTCCCCCCCAATTCTCATGAAAATAAAAGGGAGGAAAGGTAGCACATTCAGACTTGCAAGATTCTGTTTTTATAGCTGTTCTAATAAAAGTAGCTTACATCTTCATGGTGTCTGTTTCTTAGTCTGGTCTACCTGATAGGGCTGACATCATTTAACAGGGTTCAGCCGACCCTGAAATCGAAGATAATCAAGAAGCCTCAGTAAGCACTCTTAAAAAACAAGTGATAATGTATTTGAACTACATAGTACAAGCTTCCCTTGATACAACCAGTAAGATGGTTCAGTCAAAGACAGTGGAGGTCTGCTTCCTTAAGACCTAGAAAGACCTCAGTATTATGAGGCACAATGTGTAGAGGGAATATTTATGAATTGCCAAGATTAAGATCTATGACTTACAGTGCTTGTTTGTTTGTTTTTTTGTTTAAGCAAGTGTCTTTTCCAGAGGTAACCACAAATTTGTACTGATAGGTAACTCCCTTTCTTTGCCTCTGGTGTCTTAATCCCTACTGCCTCTTTATTTTTCTTCCAAGAGTCCAAAGAAAGGCCTCATTTTAGGTGTTCCATTCATGAAGTAAGTTTATGTGGAATGGGCTGTGAGCCAAGCAAACCATGATCAAAGAATCAGTAACAGAACAGAGTGCTAGAACTGGAGGACATTTATAGACTCCAGATTTGGAGCACAAAGGAGCTTATTAATGCTGGTGAACTCTAACACTAGGATTTAGTTATGACTTATTTTGGTTTTATTGGGATTATTATGTATCTAGTAACATGTAATCCATTTAGCAAGCTAGTTATCTTTCTTTTATTTTTAAAGAATCACGACCATTATCAGTACCAGTGAAAGCCATGTTGAGTTCAGCTGAAAATTGCAGCAAAGGTCCTGAGGAAAGAATGAAAGAATTTATTAGTGTGGTATGGAATGCAGTTAAGTGCCTTACGCTTCAGGTAAGAAATTGGGGATGGGGGATGGAGGAGAAGAATATTTTAATGTACTTTTAGGACCTTCTCTTATTTTGAAATTTCTATAAAATAAATTCCCAGTTTAAGTTTATGTTGGGAATAATGAAGCCAAATTTCATTTGACCATCATGGAATGATGAAGCCAAGTTAATTAAGCTCTTCAGGATCATTAAGCATAGGGTTAGACATCTATATATTCTGTTGCATATAGTCATGTGTAACAAAAACAATGCTAGACTGTAAGCTTTCCACAGTAAAGCTTGCTTTATTGTTTATAGGACATCTCACAACTGTTTGTCTAGATCAATCGAATTATACCATTAGATACCTGTCTAATTAGTCACAATTAGACTGTATTAATCTATTGCAATGCAGTCTACTTAGAGTTGCCTTGAAAACCATTTGGCAACTTTAGTTGGTGTAGTTGGCTACCTATAGGTTTTCAGGTACAGTTCAAAATCTTATGAAGTCCTTCATGACTCAGGTCATGTTAATGCAAGGGACAGTCTGCTCCAGGAGGCAAGTACGTTATGTGTTCCCCCTTTCATGAAGCTGCCCCAGTTCTGTGGAACTGTGTCCCTGACGTAAGGATGGCCCTGTTCTTCTTGGCACTTCGGAAGAAACTTAAAATAGTTTTCTTTCACTAGACTTTTGGTTCTCAATCTATTGAGGGTACTGTTGCTGAATTTTACTTATTATTTATTCTGTTCTTTTATTCATTTATTGTAATTATTTTTATGGTTTTATTTAATTAATTGTTGCTGTAAACGATGCACAGTAGGCCAGCACAGAAATAAGGATAAATTTTATTTAAAATAAAACTTATTTAAAAAATTAAAATCCCACATTATATGTCATTTTCTCTTCTATCGGAAAATCTCTAAAGCATGGATTTCTATTGTTTCAGATTTTTTTTTATTATCCAAATGCTACTTGAACAAAGCAGTTTTGATATGACTGTCAAGATAACTTTCAAAACAGAAGGAATTCTTGTAAAATAACAATATGTCAGTATGGATATTTAAGGGTCTGTTTAATAACCATGACCCAAATGAAACATTTGCCTGTTTATATAACCTCTTTACTCTTTTTATATATATGCAATTAAACCACAATGTCTCCAACAATAGTTCCCTTTTCACCTAAACTGGGAAACAGTGGTTACCTGCTTTAAAACATAAGATAGGTTATTAAACTATAGCTCAAAGCTTGCTTAATACTCTGACTTGTTTCAAATAGTTCAATTTCTGTTGAAATGAAAAGCTACAGTTTTCTTTCACTTTATGCAGATTTGCTATAATGCAATTGATAACTTTTGTCCAAAAATTTGCTTTATGTGACCAAAAAAAAAATGCTGTTATGTGATTTGTGCCGGCATAGTCAATTGGCACCAGAGGTCTAGAGACAGGCCAAGGCTTCTTCCCACCAACATTTTGAACATTTTCTCACCAAAACTCTTTCTGTCTTCAAATATCATGTTGTGCTGTTATTCTAGTTGTGCATCTTGTCTCCCACTTCAGTACCTGCAATAGCTACTGCAGTTACTATGGAGACAAAGTGCTTTTCCAAGGCTTTTCCAGACTCTTACCCAAAATGAAAAAGAAAGAGACTTCTCTAACATGAGAAACAAAATTGGGCATATTACATTACTCTGAGGTTGATGAAGAATCATCAGCCTTAGGATCAGCTTTTAACCTGGATGAATCTACTATGCACAACACAATAAAGAATGCTATTAAAATGTATAGTGCCATGATGAATTCTACTGCTTTGTCTGATATGTTAACCATCCATGTTAGAAATCCAGCTGTAAGAAACATGGAGAAAATGTTTTCATTGGACATAGAATACATCACAAGGAAGAAAACATAAGTATGATACTGCTTAAGAGTAAGACTTTAAAAATTTACAGTGGTGCTTAAAGGTTTGTGAATCCTTCTGAATTTTCAATATTTCTGCATATGAATATTGAAATATGACCTAAAACGTGATCTGTTCTCCACAGAAGCCCTAAAAGTAGATAAAGAAAAACCAATTAAACAAACAAGTCAAAAACATTATACTTGTTCATTTATTTATTGAGGAAAATGATCCAAAGCCACATACTCGAGTGTGGCAAAAGTATGTGAACCTTTGCTTTCAGTAACTGGTATGCCCCCCTTGGGCAGCAATAACTGTAATTAAATGTTTCCCATAACCATCGATCAGTCCTGCACATTGGCTTGTAGGAATTTTAGTCTTATCAATTCTTAATTGTTGCAGTGGACAAATAGCAATTCCATCTTGCCAGGATTCAACTTTAGTCCCCCCCCCCGCCCCCATGCAGACTCTTAACAGCCTCAGCACCAAGAAATAATAATGCTTTGGACTGGGGACCCGGGAGGCCCAGGTGGGGAGGTATTTGGGCCCAGAACCCCCGGGGGCTATGCGGTGGGCTACTCCATCGAGGTGGTGACGAGCAGGGGATGTTATGGCGGGAGCTGGAAAGCGGGCCATCTTCGGGGAAGACGCCCCCGGTATGTCTCACCGGTGGCGTGTTCCGGCCCTCCTGGCTCATTCCCAGGTCCTGGTCAGCAGGTTCGTAGGGGCCC